CTGGGAACCACGGCGGGGTTGGATCAAGGGTTGGACTTGATGATCTCTGAGGTCCCTTCCAACCCAGCTGATTCTCTGATTCTCTGATTCTCTGATTCTCTGATTCTATGATTCTCTGATTCTCTGATTCAGTTGTGTGACACGGGCAGGCTGGAGCTTGGCCGAGCCCAGCAAATCTCCCAGCAGTGCTCTGGAATGAGCTCCGGGAGGTTTTCCCTGTGCCACGGGCTTGACATGGGGTTTATTTTTAAAATGTTACGAGCTGAAAACTGATCAGGCCTGTAATGCACATTGGAATCCATCTCTTTTACTGCTGGAAACCTCAGAGAGATGTATGAGTGCCATAAGAAAATGCTTCTGAACACCACCCCCCCCCCAGTTCCTCAGTGCCTTTGCCCACCACCTCAGATTTTGGTGCAAACTGAAGGTTTTAACATTTGGGAAAGGAAAAATCTCACCACACCTGAACTCCTGCCTTGTGCTGTCCTCTGGAGTTCTCTGGTTTAGCAAGATTTGGAGTTTTTCCTGCTCTCACTGCTCTGGCCTGGGTGACCTCGTGGTGGGTACAGAGTGTAACTGAGTTTCCAGGAAAATCCTGAAATGGTCCCATCTGTTGGGAGTGCAGAATACCAGGAATTGCTACTTGTTGAAGCTCTGGAGTTCATTCTTGTCAGAACTCAGCTGAATTGGGCACGAGCACACAGAGTGCAGGGCTGCCAAATCCCCCACTTGGACCCTCCCCGGCATTTTGGGGTCAGTCTGCCCATGATTTCCCTGAGTTCCTCAAAGGTGAGGCTGCAGGAGCAGCTCCCCTGCTGGGGACTGGGTGTATTAAATTATCAAGGAGTCACATGCGTGTGTGCTTTAATTTGTAGCTTTGCTTAAATTACGTGGAGTCCTTCAAAAGGGAAAAAAAAAATCAATTTGACTTTGGCAGCTGTCTCCACGATGCTGCCAATCACCAGAGGATCTTGGCTATTTTTAAGTCTCCTGAAATCAGTCTGCATTAAGGCAATAGCTGTGCTTGGATTTAAGCCCAGGACTCTATCAATATAAAATGATTTGTTGTAAGTTTAAAGATGCTTCATCCCTATTCTCTCTCTTTTCATTTACATTTTAAGCTTTCATCAAACCGTGGATCAACAATACTAATAGAGCCTTTTCTCCTCTCTCCTGCTTCACACTTTTTCTGCAAAGAACACCTGAGACTGTGTGTTCTTCACCTCAGTCTGACATGAGGGAGGTTTCCTCTCTGTTCAAACCAGAAGAACCCATTTGTTCCCTGAAGGATCCCACCGTGAGTCTTTCCAGCCTTGTGCCACTTGAATGTTTTCCAGTCAAGTTCTCAGGGATGTGAAATATGTGATTAAGAGAGTAATGGGAAGCAAAAAAGGAGATGATCCTTCATGCAGCATGAATGGAAATAACCAGTAAAGAAGAGATTTTGTTTTCCCCAATCTAAGACTGAGGTTTGCAAAGTGCAAAGTGCTTCAGACCAACAGTCCTTGGGCCTTTCCACAAGGGCCCGGAGTGACAGGACAGGGGGGAATGGCCTTAAGGGTTGGATGGGATACTGGGAAGAAATCCTTCCCTGTGAGGGTGGGGAGGGGCTGGGATGGAATTGCCAGAGAAGCTGTGGCTGCCCCTGGATCCCTGGGGGTGTCCAAGGCCAGGTTGGAGTAACCAGGGATAGTGGAAGATGTCCCTGCCCATGGCAGGGGGTGGCACTGGATGATTTTAAGGTCCCTTCCAACCCAAACCATTCCATGATTTTATGATTCTATCTATGATATTGGATCAACTGGGATCATTTGCTTCCAGCAGAACCTGTTGATGAGGCAGGAGATGATCTCCAAGGTCCCTTCCCACCCAAACCATCCCATGTTCTTGCCCATCTCTGGCAGCTCCAGCTCCATCCCACCAGCAGCACTGGGGGTCTCAGACCCTCCCCAGCCCCAGCCCAGAGGCAGCTGAAAGACTTGGGTTTAACCTGTCACTGTAATGGATTTAAATGCCAGGGAGTAGGGTGAGATGGGATTTGGGGAAGGGATTCCTCCCTGGGAGGGTGGGGAGGGGCTGGGCTGGGATTCCCAGAGAAGCTGTGGCTGCCCCTGGATCCCTGGAAGTGTCCAAGGCCAGGTTGGAGCAACCTGGGCTGGTGGAAGGTGACCCTGCCCATGGCAGGGGGTGGCACTGGATGAGCTTTAAAGTCCCTTCCAACCCAAACCATTCCATGATTCCACTGACAGACCAACTCTGGATGCTCTGGGGACACCCACGTGTTCCCTGCAGCTGGGATGACATTTCTAGTTCAGTGTTCCCCATAACCTGGGAGGGGAATGCTCACAAGGGGAATAATTGTGGATTTTCCCAATAATTAAGTTTCTCATGCCTAATTTTGCCATTCCCCTCTGTCCTTTCAGACTTGCCCACAGTCACTGTGTCCATCCATTTGCTGAGGGAGATTTCCCCAATGGAAAACCCACAGAGATTTACCCCAAGGAAAGCTGTGGAGAACTGCAGCCAATTAAGTGCTTAAATCACCTTGTGATTGAGTAAAATAGTGTTAGATCTAAGCTTACTTTAATAATAAATTAAAAAAATCAAGATAATAATTATTGTTCAGATTCTCATTAGTAGAAGCCTAATTTCACTGTATGTTTTTCCCAGATTTCCTGGGATTTCTATGACAACCCCCCATCTTACAGAAGCCATTTGTATCCTTGCCCTGTATTTTGGCCTTTTTCTGAAATTTTTCAAGATATATGATCATAAAATAAATAAAATTTAAAAAAATTTGAAAATAAACTTCTAACTTAATCTGTAACGAAAAGATTGGACTTTTTTTTACAGCTTTGCTGTAAACATTGGTTAAAAATAGCTTAACAGGAGCAACTCTTGCTGTGTTGCAGCTAAATGTGATTTCTGACACGTATATGTAATTAAAGCAGAACTGTTTGATGTTTTCTGTGGCTGAGGGAGTGTCTGTAAAAACAAATATCAGTTTTCTTGCCCGTCCTGTCTCAATATCTGCACTAAATATTCAATATCACACAAGTCAAGATGGTTGGTTGTTGTTCAGCTCTTTTGTGCCTTCAGGGCACTTTGCAGTAGCATTAATGCCTCTGGAAAAGAAAAAAAATAAGAAAAGTTCATTCTCCTTCCTTATTTAATTCTTTAAAGTTCCCTAATTTGTATAATTTCTGTCCTTTTTGGCAGGAAACCCTCTCCAGGTTGCAGCACTATTTTCACTTGTGCCTTGGCATTTGGAGCTCTTTAGTTTATCAGCAGTGCAAGGAAAACCTTCCTGGAGACTTTCCATCAAAGCCATTTGGTGATGAAGGAGGGGAACATCTTTTCTGATGCCTTGAAACAGGAGCCAGAATTTCCAAGTGAACTCCCAGTGCCCTTATTAATAGAGAAGTAATTTTTTTAGCATCACCCTGACCTGGGGAAGGTGAATGTTGGGAATGGGGAGATTGATGTGATTTAGGGGAAGTTGTTTTGCTTTGATTCTTGATGCCAAGTGCCTTCACCCAGGGCTATAATCCCTGCTCCTGCCACTCTGCAGAGTTGGGGGAAGGTAGTTTAGACATATTGACTTCCACCAGGATGGTTAACTCTGGTCTGACTTCTGGAAAATCTGAGGTAGGGAGAAAAAAAATGGCATTTTTTCCAAGCTCCCTGAGAGTGCCCACTGTGTAAACTGTGCTCCTCTGTTCCAGTCTTATCCTCTGTTCCAGTCTTATCTGACTTGTAAAAAATAGCCTTGAATTAATAGGATGCAAATAGAAGGGGGAGGAAAACCAGGTAGAGACCAATCATTGTCATAAAAATTGCCAAAAAGAATCAGCATGTTCATAAAAGTGTCCAACGTTGATGTTGTGCTGCAGAACTAATAAAAGGGGTATAAACAGAATATAACCTTGAAATGAAATAAATACACCCTTGGAGGAGGAAGAAATAGTGCCCTGGGCTTTGTGCCAGACAAATGAGTGTCGGGTTCTAATTGCTCAGAGTGTGTTTAAGAGCCAAGTGTCCAAATCCAGCTGTTCCTGCAAGCCCAGGATGCTCCCACTGACAGCCAGGGGCTGGACTGCCATTTATCAAGTTATTCCCTAAAAAATATGGATTATTGCATGTGGGGGCTGCCCTTTGGAGCCAAGGAACTCGGCTGCATTAAAAAAGGCTTTTTGGGGCCAAGGACTTTTTCCCCTTGTCTTGCTTCCAACCCACCTTCCAGCAGAGCAGGTTGGTGGGATAAAGTTTAAGGTGGAATCCAACACTTCTGACAGGGGACTGTTGCTTTCTTAGAGATGCTCCAGGTCTCTCTGGGAATGGGAATCAGGTATTTGTGTTGACGTCCCATCGTGTCACCTGCTCAGAAAAAAGAACTATTTCCTGCAAGGAAATGCAAATTTTAATGATCACCTCCATACTTAGTTTTGCTATAAATACAAATCTCAGTAGAACACATTAGTGTAATTCCCATGGATTTGAAATATATTAACAAAGCATAAAATAGAAACTTCTTCCTGCCCCCAATGTGCTTAGAGTTGATTTTTTTTTTCCAACCATGGGAAATTAAAACAAAGGGAAGAATGAGGATTAAAGCAGAGTGACTGACTTTGATTTTCAAGTGCTATTGGAGCAGAATTGCCTTTAGGTGGGCTGATATTTTTTGTGATTCAGCTGAATCTGAGATTGGGAAATTACCTGGGAAGGCAAGTTGGATTGAGACCGTGTGACTGAAAATACCTGGAAAGCAGCACTGAACTTGCTGTATTGATTTTAGGATCATTTGAATTTCATCTCTATAATGAGACAGATGATGTGAATGCGAAGGACAGGAAAAAAGGGATCTAGAAGATGAAAATATTTAAATGCAGAGCAATGACTTCTTAAGGAGCAATTGAATCTTAATATCTGGCACAGCTTTTGTTTGCATGCTGAAGTCTGGGCCTCACCTAAGAGCAAATCTTACTGAAATTAAAATCCTTGTAACCCATTTCTGCTCCTGTTCAGCTTCACCAGCGCTGAGCAGGAAGATTTTAAATTCCCCAGGACAGTGAGGAACTCAGATTAAATAAAATGCACAAGGAAGATTAAATAAAATAAGTTTGCAGATTTGTAAGGCACTGATTATTCTGTTGTGGCCCTGGAGATGAGTTACACAAATCACTGACTGCAGGACACAGGAAACCTTTGAATTAACACTTTTCTGAGGGCAGGAATTCCACTCGCAGGAGCTGTGTCTGTACATATTTTGCTGACTATTCCACTTATTTTCCTGATGCTTCCACATTTCCTTGCTGAAGCTGTGTTTTTTCAGATGAGATTATACCTTTTCCTGATAAGGAAGTGTTCCTGCACTCAGAGCCACTCCCAGCCCCTGTTTAAATGGGGCTGTTTTATCAGGGTAATGCACGAGCCAATTGACACATGTCCCGTTCCATCAATCCTGGCCTTTGATGGCCTAAAAGGATTACTGGGGAGATGAAGATTTGATGGATTGCCAGTTAAGCTGAAAGCTCATCTGTCTGCTCATGTATTTTGGACTTGCACAACTCCAGAGCTGAGCAGTGAGAGGCACCTGAGGCTGGGAGAGACTCTGGGACCTGCAGGGCTGGGCCCTCCCCGGAGCTCTGCCACAATTGGTGCTGGGTTAAACATATTTCCCTTATTACACCAGCACTTCTTGTCTTACTGTGCTGCAACATGATCGTTACTTCATCAATTAAAGGCTGTTCCATGCTTTTATGGGAGTTCCCAGCACTTTCCACCTGCAGAGCTCTGCTTTGGATTCCAGCCCTGGGCTCCAGGTGACATAAACATTTAAGAGCAGTGCTAAAGGACAGTGCAAAGGGGAGGTGCTTTGGAAAATTACAGTAGGAAGGTCAGGGAGGAGATCAAAGGGTTGGAGCACTTGGTTTAAAATATTCTTTCGGATTTTAAAAATATAATTATAATTTTTTATGTTGTTATTTCCTGCCAGGGTCAGAGCAGCCCAAATGCTGTTTATTTTAATTAAACACCATCCTGCACTGGGCAGCTCAGGTTTTGAGGAGCTTCCACTCAGCTTTTCCTCTCTCAGCATTGGATATAAAATCCCCCAGTGTGTCTTGATAGACTTGTGTCTCTATTTATGTTTCCAGTGGCAATGGGAGACATTTTTCCCTTTGAAGTCCCCAAGAGGTTGCAGATCCTGTGCTGTTGTTTCCAGATCCAGTGGTTATCAGAGGGGATCTCTGCCACTCCCTGGTACCTGGGCATGCTGAGGCTTTCAGAGAGCAAAGCCAGGAACAGCAGAAATCACTCACAGCTGGGAAAATGTCTGGAATTTGGAAAGCTCCAACTTTTCAAACCTTTGAAAATTTCAGTCCCTGCCTTTGGAAGCTTTTTTTTTTGTTGTTGTTGTTAATTTTTTTTGTTAATTTTTTACTGTTAAATTATTTTTTTTTTAGTTATTTTTTCTTTTCAATAAATTATTCCCTAAAGTACAGCCCTAGAGGCAGAAAAATGTTCATCAAGTTCAGGTTCACTGAAGAGCTTCAAACAAAACTGAATGACAGTGGACAGTCAGGGTTGGACTCCAGGATTTTGGAGGTCTTTTCCAACCTAAATGATTCCATGATTCTGTGATTCCATGTACTGGCTTTTGGTGCTTGGGATATTCAAGCACCATTTTTTAAAACAGAGAATAAAATGAAAATGGAGTGTTCTAGAAGTCTAGGAAGTTCTAGAAGAAATAGTGACAAACCACTAAAACCAGTATTGCTTTCCCACATTTCCCATTCTGAATTTTCCTTCAAAATGAGGGATTTTGTTTGCAAAGAAAAATTGGTAGAATAATTTTTTTAATTCCTTATTTTTCAAAGCTTGGCCTTTGACTCATATTTCTGCTCCTTTTGTTGTCTGTATTTCTCTGCTCTTGTGCTGCATCCAGTTCCTGGTGCAGTTTTGGGTTCCAGTTCCTCACCAAACCCTTTCTATTTCCTCAAAATATAATCGATATTTCAAAGAAATCTATTCAAATAACAAGCCCAGGTGTATCAAAAAGCAATTATTGAGTCTGTAAAGACCTGGGAAGTGACAAACAGTCTTAAAAACGTTCACAGCTTTTAGTGTTTAGAATTCACCTGTTGGGGACTATCAGATCTCATCTGTGGAAAACAAAACAAAGCTCAATTGATAGTGATTAATAACAGGCTAAATTTGCAGTATAAACCTCTACAGTAGTATTTGAGTGGAGGATTTGATTTTAGTCCATTTCTGAGGGATATTGGTCGTTAAATAATAGGAAAGATCCTTTTTAAGAGCTAATTACAGGACACTGAAAGGCTCCCAGTGCAGCACTGGTTTGCTCTGTGCTCCCGTTCCCATTCTGCCACTCCACAACTGTCACCCCTCATTAGCATTTAAATCATATTTGGGCTTAAATAAGCTTTATTTCTGATTAATGTAATGCCGTGATTTTGTGTCCTTTTTAGGGTTTTTGGCTTAAAGTAGGAGAGCTTATGATAAATACTGGAGATGTGGGAGAAGTTGATTAAATTAGTCGTGGAAATGGACAGGAGGAAACAGGAGGAAAATTTGCACAGATGAGCAAATTCGG